TTATGAAAAATTATAACATTTTTTATAAATTATAAGTTTTGATGTAGTTAAAATTTTTAAATTTAAAAACACTTTCCAAAAGTTGTATCAAGTATAACCTTAACGGGTTCCTGAGATTTCATTGTGTGGGATCCAACGGCTGCCTGATATTGACCCGATAACTTCCTTGGCAACGAATAACGAAGGATTTGTTTAACTTGTTTTTAATATATTATTTTATAATTAATTTATATAAAAAAATAAAAATTAATTTTTATTTTAATATTATTATTAAGTAAATAGTTTTAATTAATAAATTAATAAAATTTAAGTTAATGAAACACCACGTCCACTGGAAGCGCACTGTACACCCAAGTTCCAACCTTTAGGAGTACGGTTAGAATCCTATCCCTCTTCCCCGGAAAATTGTGACATGTTTTTCATGGAAGAAAAAAGTTTATTTAACTTTTTATTTTTAGTGATTATTGAAATCAACTTCTGTATTTTATTTTAAAATAAGTTTCCTTTCATATTTTTTATTAAAAAAATTTGTCATATTAAATTTTGATAGTAATAAAATTAATTTAAATTTAATAAATAACATAATAATCATTCTTTATCATTATGTCTTTTTGCTTCAATACTCCTCAAACTCTTGCTTATTCAATAATTTTGGATTCATTTTTTTGGTGATATGTCATTTTTTCATAAGTAATTGTTGTAATTGGTCAATTCTTTAACTTGATTCTATGGAAAGAAAATACAATATCATAAGAAAAATAAATTTAAAATTGTCAAATTAATAAGAGTTTAATGGATATTAAAAAAGAAAGACAAAATGATGATGTATGATTATGTTAATAGTTAAATTGTAGTTAATTTATTTCAACAAATGTAGGGGGTTAGTTTGTAATAATATATTTGGTTTGAAAGAAATAAAAGACGAGGAACGAGAAGGATGGATGAATTTTTTAATTAATAATATTATAATATTTAAAAACGTTATAATTTAATTAATTAAAAACTTCATATTTCCTCTTTTCTCCTCTCATACCAAATAGACTATTTTTTTAATATGTAGATATTATAGATTAAATCTAAATATGTGATTAAGAATACAGATAATTTTATTATCAGATCACATAATTGATAATAAACCAAAAACACTATGAGTATGAGAAGAAATTTATTTCAACTAAAAATATAAAAATTTATTTCAATAATTTCTAAAAATAAAGAAATAAGTATCATTTTTTTCCTTTTCTT